TACCCATTTTTTTTACACTTTCGTCCATTATTATTTAGATTGGAGCTCCTAAACCAATATCTGTAGTGCTTTTCTAGCGATAATCTTGGGTGCTAATTATATATTAATGCGCCTTGAGATGTTTAAAACCCAATACAGTAAAACTTGTGTAAGTTGACCACTTGTGGTGCATTGTTTTAGTGGTCAACTTAGACAAGTGGTCAACTTATAGAGGGAGTGGGTCATTGTTTACTTTTTCGTTTCCTATATCATGTTGCTATATATTTAATTCTTTTTTACTTGACTTAAAAATTTTATTCAGAAAATATGCAAATGAATATCTTAAGAAATGTGTTTAAACCTGAATGAACTTCAATTTGATACATAATTCTAATATTTAACTAATTATTTTTTGTAAAAATTATTTCGTTAGTTATGCATGTGAAGTGTTTCATAAATATAATTTCTTAAAATATCAGAACACGAAAATATGTAATTTGAAAACTTTAACAAAATAAGATTATTTGAACACTTTAAAATTTATTTACTACTCTTAAAGATCAAAGACCATAAATAAAGGATCAAAGCATATTTCAGAGCATTCATTTATTCAAATGCTCACTATTGCAACTGGAAGAGCAACTTTTCAACTAACACACCTGTTTTCAATGAACGGATGAAAGAAATGGTCAAAAGCTGACCCCTTACAGTTTCCCCTGATGGTCAACTCACAAAAGGGTTTAGATTAGCTTTTTACACTATTTCACCAAACAAGTGAAATTTTAACATACATTGCAAAAATGACAGAAAATTTTCTGAATTTTTTTTTTCTGGTCAACTTATGAGGGTTTTAGAATAGAATTTCATAATACTCCTAGACAAAATTGACTTATTTCAGTGGTCAACATACAAGATAGACAGGTGGTCAAGTTACAAAGGTTTTGCTTCTTTATATTATATAGGAAAAATTCCGTTCTTGATAATTGAGGTAAACTCTTGCAGGTGCCCAATTTACAAGGGTGGTCAACTTTGCAGGTTTCACTGTATGTGGTTTTAGGATAAATACATCTGCAAGATATCATATTTTTAAAAAAAATTAATTTACATTAATAACAAACATTTTTGGTTGATTCAGCATGCAATAGTTCGAAAAGACTACTTTTTCTAATTATATCATAAAACAGAATCAGATCTGTGTGTTGAGAGAATATAATCTAGTAAAGTATCGGATAAGCGTCTCATTATATAGTATTTTAAACTAAGTTATTATTTAACGTTTTGTCAGAATATTGCATTTGTTCAGTCTACACTCTCAGAAATAAAACTCTCACATTTGACGATCCAACAATCTTTGAGCTGTATTTCGTTGTTTTTGAGAATCATTTCCTCCCGAAATCACGTGATTTGAGACGAAATATGATTTTTCAAATATAGTCCTGCAATTCCCTCACATTACGTGGCAGCACGAATTTGGTTTTTCAAGTAGGACCACAAATGCTCCATTGGATTAAGGTCAGGAGATTTTGGGGGTCAAGACATGACTTGAAAGTCACTGGAATGTTCCTCGACGACTTGAACCTTATGACATGGTGCATTATCCTGTGGGTAAACACCATCCACCGCAGGAAAAACTGTTGCCATGAATGGGTGAACCTGGTCTGCAACTATGTTCAACTAGCTTACAGACATCAGGGATTGTTTTATGAGGATTATGGGTCCTAATGTGCCCCATGAAAACATTGTTCCTGGCGAGAAACCATGAAACCCTGGGTGAGCCCATTGTTATAGATGGAGGGTGGTCATAATGCAATGGCTCTTCGGTGTACATTGGTTGAAAAAGATATTTTATGTACAATGTATCAGAAGTTGGAAAGTATTTGCCAACATTGTACCGAATGGGACTTTATGAAAATAATTCATATTCATAAAAACAGAACCTCGTAAAAATAAGTATTTCCGATTGACACTCCAACGTAGAATCATCCTGCATGAGTAAATAGTAAACTTACATGCCATGTAACAATATGTATTATTTTCAAGATACTTTTTCCATTATTTTTCCAGTTGCAAAGTAATAATTAAAACTGCAGATAGGTGAAACAATCTCTTCCATCAACTATATAATTTAAAGCAAATTTTATGCTTCTTTCATTAAAGGTGTATATATTTCATGATGGTGAAATATATTGTATATATTTCACCAATCTGCCGAATTAAGTGGAAATTATTTGTAACTATTATATAATGCATATTTAATATTTTATTTTTTTAAACTTTTTGCTTACTTTAATGGAGAAAATATTCATTTCCATTTATATTCATTTCACATTCATTTTCGATCATTATTTCTAGCTCTTATTTTAATAATGTATCTCATAATGTTAGCATAATAACTACATAAACTAGATATTTATACACTGTTTTTATCATAGTTAAAAAAAATAATCGCATTAAAAATGGATGGAGAAAGAGTGGAAAATGCAAATTCGAAACCAAAATCCTTCAAAAGAATTGCGGTAAGAGTATTAACAGAAACAACAGAAAAACAAAAAAAGGTCAGTACATCACGGAAAGTATTCAGAGTTATTGTGTTTCTTCTTTTTACGGCTGGTTTCTTGTATCAAGTGATTCGTTTCCTCACTTTTCTTCTCGAGTATCCAACTGTTGTTAACATCGAAATAAGAAGTCCTGATTCCTATATTAGTCCGGCAATTTCATTTTGTAACAATGAAAGGTAAGTATACTTAATTTTGTTTTGAGATTGTCTTTCTGTTAACATTTTTGATGTGGCATAAAAAATACAGCTCTTTTCAAAAATATTTTTAAAAAAAAAAATCGTAAAAGTTTATATTTAAAATTAAAAATTTCAATTAAGTTATAAACTTTTAGTTACTAAAAATTTTTTTTCAATTTTACATACTTAAAATTTTTATTTAATTTTATACGATTTTTAAATTGTATTTAGTCCTTTGTCCTATGTCAGTGAAAATTACAGAAGCCGTAGCTCCATACGAGTTGCCTGGTAGAGTTTAATCAAAATTAAGATAGTTAGCAAAAGAGAAGTAAATTTATATTTTATAAAACTTTATGCTGTGCTTTCAAAACCTTTATATTAAATAGACCAACACAATAAATGTTTTACTTTCTCTATCCTTATTTTCATACTGGTTCTAAGTCAAATAAAAGAAAGTTGCAATAAACATTAATAAATAAGTTTGCAAATTGGACGGTTTATTTTTTATCGCTACCTCACAAAACTACCTTTGGAAGTGCTGATAATGAATGACTTAATTAATCTATCCGTATATATATATATACATACATACATACGAGGGTTGTTATTTATATTTCTGGCCTTGGCAGCAGTAAGTGTTGCTAGGCGACCGCAGACGATTTTAATCAAAAGTTTGATATTTTTAAACATAAATTCAGCAGACGATTTACCATTATAGCTTCATTTGTGTTGTTGACAGTAAATTGAAAAGTTCTTCTCTTTCAAAAAATGGAATTGAATCGTGAACATTTTCGTGCCATTATTTTTCATAACTTTCGACGTGGATTGTCAAGACAAGAGTGCTTCGATGAACTTAATTCTTTATTCA